TTTTTAATGTACATTAGTCGACATAATAGGAAAAACTGTATTTTTTTTGGTTATTTGGACCGATTTGGTCAACATTTCCGAAATATAGGAAATGTCGACCGACATAATGTAATTTTTATATTACCATCCACTTTCATATCGGTGAGCCTCGACATCGACATATGTCGGGCGACGTTAGTGACATTTGGCGACATTTGAAACCATGCATCATTTAATCATGGATATGACACTGAACAAAGTGGAATGGCAGAACAGGATTGATGTAGTTGACCTCATATAGTTGGGATAAATCTTAGTTGAGTTTAGTTGTTGAACTGTTTATTGTTTATGAACAATGCCACTTTAACCTGCCTCTTTAGTTCATTAATTGGTAGTCAATTGTGGTATTTATGCACACTACTATGTTCTTTTTAAGTACATGTAGATGAATGCTGGCCTAATTTCTTGCTAGAAGAATCATTGATAACTTAATAAGTAATAACGTTTTGAAACTTTATTCTCTTACATGATTTATTATGTTCATGCCATCAATTCCTTTTTTGTTTTTCCTTTTTGGTTGGGTAGCAATGTTTTTTCTTTTAATTCATGCCATGACAACACCTTGGAAGGCAATTTTTGGCACTCTCCCCAAATTCCTTAGGTTTGCAAGGTATGATGTTTGCTCTGAAAATTCAGTCCTCTTTTGGGAAGATGTTTTGGATGGCACAGCCTCTAAAAGACCGTTTCCCGTCCCTTTATTTTATCTCCCTCTTTAAAAAGAAACCAATCTCAAGATTCCTTTCCCCCTTGGTTCTCTCATTGGCCTGAAACCAGGATTCTAGGTTTTGTAGAGGCCTAAAGAGTGGTTAAACTGAACTTTGATGGAAGCAGTCGGGTATAGGAGGGATCCTAAGAGATAAGGACAGCAACATCCTATCTTTGTTCTCAGGACCAGTAGGAGTTGGAGACTCTACAAGGGCTAAGATATTAGCAGCAGTACAAGGTATACAGGTTGCCATTCAACTTGGAGTTGAGAACTTGATGGTTGAGGGGGTATCCAAGGTAGTAGTGGGCTGGCTGTCAAATCCAGAAACAGTCTTTTGGTGTTACAGGGATCTTCTGAAGAAAGTTAATTGGCTGACAAGGAATATGGCAGTTAGTTTTCAGAGGGTCAGCAGAATGGCAAATGGTATGGCTGATTCATTGGCTAAACAAGGAGTATCAACCATCAAGGGGAGATCTGTTTTGGGTTGCCTTATAATTGTAATTTTAGGCTAGAATGTGCTTTTTTTTCTCAGCTCTCAGCTCCAAGGGGGAGGTAATAACTGTAACATCTAGTGCCTCCTCTTAGACTGATTGTACACTTATTTATAAAACAGAAGTACCTAACTAAAGCCAGAGTGGTTTGGGCAGATCTGTAATTGGGGCATCTAAGCTTGAAAAGATTTGATTTCCTTTGTAACAAAAACCCATTGTATTTTATACTTTAAATTAATGAATTGATTACTGATTACTGATAAGAAAACTGAGGCAAGAGAGGTTCATCCCAGTATAACTGTAACCTAAAACTCAAAATAAAATGACAACAACTATCTTACTCCTAGCTTTATTCTTAGCTAAAAATTTGAATGACATAAGGCCATTGTAACAAGATACTCACACTAGCAACTAAGGATTGATGCCTTCTTTGATGATTCCATGGAAATGACGGACCTTCCACCTCATCAACTAAATAACAATTCACAACCTGTAAATCCACCCAACCTGCACCATATCATAGTAAAGAATTGTATAAATTGCAATCCATGAAGAAGTTATAGCATCTCTAGTGTAATATGTAGGTTCTAGTACCCATAGGTCTAGAATATATGAATTTCCTTGGATGACCAAGGGATGGATTTGTAAGTTGGACCTTGAAAAAGCTTATGATTATATGGATTGGTCCTTCTTGAAGGAATTCTAAGAAATTGTGGTTTTGGGGAAAGGTGGAGAGGGTGGATAAGGGGTTGTGTTAGTAATGTTCACTATTCCTTATTGTCAATGGTTCAGCTAAGGACTTTTTCCTGCCAAGAGAGGTCTTAGACCAGGCAGTCCTCTTTCCCCATTTTTGTTTACCCTTGTTGTAGATGTTCTTAGTAGGTTGATTTTGAGAGAATAAAGAGTGGGGCTTCTCAAGGCTTGGAGGGTAAGAAGGGAGTGAGTGGTAGAGGCTCATCTACAATTTGGAGATGATATTATAATATTTTGCATAGATGATAGGGAGAAGGAGGGTAAGAAATCTTACTGTTGGTGAAATTTTTCGAGAGAATCTCTAACTTGAAGGTAAATTTAGGAATGAGTTGCTTAGCAGGCATAAATCTGGAGGGGGGTGTGGTGTAATGTGATGTTATTCAGATTTTGAGAGTAAAGAGTGGGGCTTCTCAAGGCTTGGAGCGTAGGAAGGGAGTGAGTGGTAGTGGCTCATCTACAATTTGTAGATGATATTATAATATTTTGCATAGACGATGAGGAGACGGGGGTAGGAAATCTTACTCTTGGTGAATTGTTTTGAGAGAGTATATAACTTGAAGGTAAATTTAGGAATGAGTTGCTTAGCAGGCGTAAATCTGGAGGGGGGGTGTGGTGTAAAGTTATTCAGATATCCTGAGATGCTCAACTTCTCATTGAGCTTTCAAATACCTGGGGCTCCCTCTTGGGGGCAATCTTAGATGCTTGAATTTTTGGAACCAAGTGGTGGATATGTCCTCTAAAAAGCTAGCAGGGTGAAGAAAGAATTGCATCTCCCTTGGGGAAAGAATCCCACTAATTCAATCTACTTTATCCAATCTACCCATTTATTAGCTCTCTGTTTTTAGGATTCCTTCTTTAGTGGCAAAAAGGTTAGAAAATATCGTGAGGGATTTCTTGTGGTAATCATGAGGTATTTTTAGTGTCAACACCCATGGTTGGGACACAGGTCTGAATTCCAGGGCACCTTAGCTTCTCCTAGGAAATCTATTGTTGTTTTACTCCCTTCTTTTTGGGCTTTCATTAGGTATGATACTGTCTCCGAATTCCCTTAATAGTCTGTCTTTAAGGGATTCTTTTTGATTTATTCTCTAGGATGTTTCATAGTGAAGGTAGAGGGAGACACACATATAGTGGTCGGGTGGTCTGTTAAAAAAGAAATCAGTGCTAGAAGTGGGAAAGGAAGAAATGAATTGTACTAGAGCCTCCCTTGGTTCAATTAACCTTGGGTGGCCTGTTAAAAAAGAAATCAGTTCTAATATGAAATCTTCTTTGTACACAGATACAACTGATATAAGAATTATTTACTTTCATAGTTGCAACTGCATTTCCTAGGTGTATATTGTGGCGAGTTTAATTTAGCATTTATTATCTTGTTTTCTAGTGCCTTTAAAACTATAAATGGATGATTTGTTTACAATAATGAGGTTAGTGTTTATTGTTGACAGGCCCTCATTGATACTAGTGACCATGAAATCTATGTTAGTTTGACATGCCATAGTGAGGTAAATCAGAAGGCAAAGGGAACAGTTGGCACTCAACTTGTTGGTGAAAGAGTGAAAATTATTCTTGATGAAGTCCGGGATTTATCTCTTTTTACACACCTTCAGTGTATACAACATATTGGTACTTGTCAAGTTCACCTGTCTGTATTCTCTTTGTTAATAATTTTTTATGTTCTTCATGTTTATGGCCCTTTCCCTATTGAATGCAGGTGAGTACTTCCAAGCTATCATGGATGGACTGGAAACTGAATCTCATTCAGTTGTAAGTAATCACCTCAGTGTTTTGAATACATTGATTATAATTATAGAATTATCTATCCAAATAATTGTCTATGGGTTTCTGTCTTCCTAATTGCTTTAATTTATGTAGGTCGGGGAAGTTGTTCTGAAGGACTACATATTCGTTCATCTTGATAACAATCATGACAAATTTAATTTGCTTATGTTAGTGTCTTCTTCCTTTCAAATTTCATCAAATATATCCCACACTTCCTTATATTACCATCATACATTCTATTTTTGGAGTTCTCTGGATTTCTTTGTTTGACAGGCTTGATTTAATTATTATAATTACATTAATACTTTTGTGCTTTGCTGTAGTTTTATGCTACAGAAGCTGTTTTCACTTGTAGATCAGACAACTGTGCCAGATAACCCTGATACTCTGCAAAATCAGGAGGTGTTGCTGCCTGGACACTTGATTACTATCTATCTTAAGGTATAAATCTAAAACTTAATTTGGATAGTTACAAAGATTCTTCATCCAATGAGGAGATTGATAAGTACAGGAGGAGAAAAAAATAAAAATAAGCATAAAATAAGAGTGAGGGAAGAGGGGCAATGGGTACAACAAAAACACCAATGGATCAAACACCTATCCAAAGAATGCCAGCCTCACAAAGGAAAAAGCTCCAGGTGCTTGTATCCTACATCAAAAAATGTCTAACTGATGAAGCCCTGACCACAAGAAAAGAAACCACAAAATGCAGGAGGCTGCAGGCCTACAGAAATGACTCATTTGTCTACTCAACAAAGCAGCAAACGTCCCATCTTTGTGTTTTTCTTTCCTCTATCTCTCCTTATTGGGGATGTAAGGATTGACTGTTTCAGATTTAAATGGTCAATTTAATTAAAACACTTGATGTTTCTAAAAGAAAAAAGTAGGAATTTCAATCTGATAAGATTGGGGGCAATGATAATAAAATTAACAACAATAATCATGGTATTACTTTTTTGTGGTTCTTAAGTTGATTTGCTTATTTTATTTTTTGTCATATGAATCTAACTAATTTGGTTTTCTTTGTACTTGTTTTACAATGAGTTGTAGGAAAAGCTACAGGATTGGCTGTTGAAAGGAAGACGGCTACTTTATGATGAGATAAAGAACAAGGGAAAAAGTTCTGAATTTCTCAGCTGTATGTCATACCCTTATGTTTTCCTTTCATTTTTTTTTTCCTTTTTAAGCTTGTTGTAGAATAAAAAATCTCTTTGCAGCTTTTTTTTTGTTCAGCATTTTCTTAAAATTTATTTCCTTGTTAGTCAATGAAATATGATATGGATGAGAAGTTTTGTAGCCCTGCACTCTTCTATGGGTCCCTCTGATTGGAAGCACAAAATATTTCATATTTTTTCTTCTATTTACTTTGATAGTTGTGCCTTCAAATAACCAATCCAGATCAGGTTTTATGGTACAATTATTGATATCCTAAAGCTTTTGCATAATTGTGCTTCATTAGTCTGGGAGATATTTGCTATTCTTTATTTGCTCTATTTTTGTGATTTTATTGCCTTTTATTTCCAACGAAGGAGGAAATATTGAAAACGAGTAATTGAAGGAGAGAAAAGAATCGTAATCAGCCGATTTATGGGCATACCTTTTGCATGTTAACAACCTACACATTGTGGCATCCTATCTAGAATATGTAGCTATATAAGAGTGAGGAATTTACAGTGATTTAAAATGTGCGACTGAGGCGTGCCAAGGCCTGTGGCTTAGCTAAATGGTGCTCCTTTTTGCTCTTTTGTACATTCATCCTTCTTCATACAAGACATATTTAAAAGATGAGGAGTTATAATTAAAATAACAAAATCAATCTTTTGTGTATGAACTAAAGATTTTGGACTCTAGCATAAATTTGTTTGGCCTTGCCTCAAGGGTCTCTGTATAAAGCTGCTCATAGAATTATGGTAATGTGATTTGGAATGGAATAAAGAGATTAACAGTTTCATGTGCTTGGATTTAATCTTATTTTTACATTTTCACTTTGAATATGCATTATATATATGTTTTTTAAGTAATACTATTTTTAATATTTCTGATATTTTGCATTTTTTTTTCAAAAATTCGCATCCTGCTTTAGAACGGCGATGCCTCGCCTTGTGCTTTGGGCATCAGGTGCAAAAAGCCCATTGCGTTTTTTTTTTTTGCGCCGTGTGCTTTTAAAACACTCGGAATTTAGTAACACATTTAATCTTATTGAAAACATGAGCAGTGAGAGAGAAAAGCATTGCCTCTATTGTATAACACAATTAATGTTATTGCATCAATGAAACAATGATGTATTTACAACATTCAAATATCCCGATGATAGGTAGGTTTTATTCACCTAATCCTATTGTTTATTACCTTACAATTCAGTCCAAAAAAGCTGATTATTAACCCGTTGCTTGGCCGTCGTGTCAAACAATCTGTTAGCAGATCTAGGAAGTAGGATCTCAACAAAGCCTTGGATATGATTTTTTTTTATGAGTAATAGTGCAATTTTATCAAAACAGAAACTGATTCAGGATTACAATCTCATGCAAGATCCTTTAGAGAGGTGCAATCTGCAGCCCCTCCTGACAAATACAAAGAGGTTAGGAAACAATTACTGGAATCACAACTGAGCTCAAAACAATTCTTCCCTATTTGCCCCTTGCTTGGCTAACATGTCGGCCAAAGCGTTTGCAGATCTCACCACCCACTGAATAGAGACTGACATGTTCCTTGTTAACCATTTAATTTTCTTAACTTCATTCTTATAGCACCAAACAGTCTCATCAGGTTTCCTTAACAGGCCCACCACCACCTTTGAGTCCCCCTCAATAATTAGTTGTTGTACCCCCATTTGGTTTTCAAACTGCACCCCTTGTACCACAGCTAGCATTTCTGCCCTGACAGCATCACCAAGTCCCAAAGGACCCGAGTACAACAGAACAACCTCTCCAAGCTCATTCATCAGAATCCCCCCCATTCCAGAGAGCCCTGGATTGCCTAAGCTGCTGCCATCGAAATTCAGTTTTAGTGAGCCTTCAGACTACTTTGTTCTTGATGGAAGAGCACCTCGCTATTGCCAACCAGTTTCTCCAAAAGTCATTAAAGGAGAACTGATGGAATAGGTCCAAAGTCTTCAACCATTGTATTGCCCTATTCAATACACAGTTTTTTAGTTGCTGGTTATTTCTTTCCTCTCTTGAAATATTCTATCATTCCTTTCTTCCCATATTGTCCAAACCAAGTCTCCTCACGCACATCTCCACATTGATCTTCCCTTGCTAGATGCCTAATGTTTCTCATAGTGTGGTAGTATTTCCATCTTTCTTTAGTATTCTTCATTAACAACCTTACCACTACCTTTGAATCACCTTCCACCACCACATCTTTTGGATTAAGTGAACTAAGCACTCAAATGCCTTGTAAGACAGCCATCAATTCTGCCCTGATGGAATCATCAATACCTATCCTGTGAGTAGATTGCTTAAAATAAATCCAAATTTTAGTTTTATCTAAAATATATGGTGGATGCCCCCACCTTGACGCCCTGTGAACTGTGATGAAAATTGTAAAGGAACAGAATGTCAACTAGCTCAGAACAATTGCATCTGATATGACTTTCCTTATTCAAATTTACTTTTTGATTTAAAATTAGTTTCCCTCAAAACTGTGTGATCTCCCCAGGACAACCCACTTATGATCCAGTTTATTCTCCTTATCAATAACAGTATGTATTTATTGTTCAAGGGATAAAAGGATAGATACAACAGTGGACTAGGACTTTTAAAGGTGGAACCCAGTTAACTCTCTTAGTTGACCCATAATCAATCCTTCCGGCAGCATTTAGATTTTCAAGTTTGCAGAAACTTTAAAGGAATGGGTGGTTTTTAAAATAATTAAAAACATCTTTACCGTATGTCTGCTTGTATGTATAGGACCTTATTCCTTGTTCTTCATGGTTATAGTAAGATTTTTCCCCACAAATGAAAAAACGCTTTATAGAAGAAAAAGTGTTAAACTTTTGTTTTATACTCACATTAATCATTTTCCTATTGCCTTAATTAATTGATTTTGGATCTGATATGCATATAGTGGCACATGTGAAGAAGGTCTTGGATAAAAATTCTCCAAAATCTATTGGTTTAGCTCTCGAGAATATGCTGAAAACTGGAAGGCTGGTTACACAAACTGGTCTAGACTTACAACAGGTATTTATATTATGGTAAATCTATTGACTTTGTCAATTCTCTATGACATTTTATGTTTCATAGTTTATACTTTCCTGTATTACTCTGGGTTGAACTATTAGTGTTTGATTTTTCCTTAGACTTTGATATACATATGTATATGCATGTATACATGTATGTAATTATGTATGAGAGAATACATATATGTATTTTGCATTCTGTTAGAAGGCTGAGGTGTGAAGTGAGGTGATAGAATCTTCTGGTGTGTGATGAGGCATAAGCCTCAAGGCATGGGACTATGCCTCCTGAGATCCTATTCTTTCAATGAAATCACCAAGTCAAATGATAAAAAATAAGCTATTTCTATGAGGATTATTTTTTACATATGAAGAGAAGAGAGTGTATATGATCTGATCATCATATAGACAAGGATTATGAAGCATCATTTTAAAAATGCAGACCCCAGAGGCGTGAGGCAAGGTTTTCCACTATCATAAGGTCTGAGATGCGAAGGCATAAACCTCCTGAACATGGATTTTTTAATTAATAAATAATTTAAAATAAGTAACTATATAACTAAGTTAATACCTCAAAAATCAAAATACAGGAAAAATTATGAGAAATGAGAATTTGTCACATTTGAATATTTGCCCACACTTTGTAATTTCTGGTTGGAGTGTGCTTTTTCTCAGTGCTCAGCTCTAAGGGTAGGTAACATCTTGTGCCTCCTCTTAGGCTGATTTTACACTTCTTCTATGCTTAATAAAATTCTATTCATTTATCAAAAAAAATTGCCTACACTTGTAGTATTTTTTTTGATAGATACACTTATATATTTATAGTATCTTACTAGGAATATTACAATAAAAAAGTTTGGAAGGTTTTCCTCCTTTGTATTTTAATAATACATAAATAAGATTATCAATGACTAAAATGGGATGAACAATGAATTATCCAAAGAATTTCCTCCTTTGCCTTGGGATTTTGGTTTCCGTAGAGGATTAAGGGATGAGGAAATTGAGTGTTTGTCTACTCTTCTATGTCTCCTTGATAAGGTTTGGTTGGATCCCTCGAAATCTGATAAAAGGATTTGGGCCATTCACCCCAAAGGGTCTTTTTCTTGTGGTTCCTTTTTCAAGTTCCTCTGCCAATCTCCCTCTCATCAGAGTTTCCCATTCAAAGAAGTCTAGTGTAGGTTGGTCCCCCCAAGGTTATGGCTTTGTCTTGGGAAGTGTGGCATGGTAAAGTAAACACGATGGACAACCTACAAAAGAGAAGACCCGTCCTTTGTATTTCACCAAACTGGTGCATTCTTTGCAGATATCATGGTGAGGATTGTAATCATCTATTTTTATCTTGTAGTGTCACTGCAGAGCTTTGGGCTTGGCTTCTATCTTTGTTTG